GTTCGAGGAAACACCCGTAGCCTTGAGCGCGAGCTCTGGGCCGGTGGGTTATTTGATTGCGATTTGGTGTCAGCTGAACGGCTCATTAGCCGGCTTCTGTTGACTATGGGCCAGTTACTCTACGGCTCTTCCTTTCATGAGTACACCACGTGAGGCCGCCTGGGGAGACCTCAAACCGCACTGCCAAAAGGCGATTTTTTTCTTTTTTCGGTCTGCAGAGCCTTTGATGATGCGCTCCTCTCTGCAAGGTGACGACTTTATTTTCTTTTTTCGGGAAATTTCCGAGAATTTTTCGGAAATTTCCAACTCTTGTGGCAATCTGAGTACCGTCCCCGATAAGCAGCAATGAATACAATTTTATTATTTTTTTGTTTGTTTTGGTTGAGCAAATATCACACCGGATTAAAAAGTTGTTTTTTCTTATTTTACATACATCAAATGGTATAAAAACCTAACAACTAAACGTAAATAACAGACTAAATAATAATCACAATCATTACACAAAGTTGTAAAAATATATAACACTAGAATCGTTACGTCTGTCCAAACGCCCCAATAACGGGCCTCGACGCCTGTGGAGGTAAGTCTTAGTCTCTGTCGTGCCCGACCGGCAAAGAGTGCCTCTTCCGACGAGCTAAATGATTATTTTTAAAATTCGTATTTAGATAGATAGTGTCATTGCGATCACAACCGAAACAGGACTAGGATAAGCCTAACAGCCCGATATAGGCACGAGTACAAGTAACACCATGCAAGTGCTCACGTTTCTGATTGGTAACACAAAAAGTAAAAAGCAAAGTTGTTTTTTTTTTGCCTGTGTACGACGCGCCCTTAACCCCGGCCAGGGCCAGCCGCATGGCAGTGCGGGGGCGTGAGTAAGCGGCTGACCCCGTTGAGGATCCCGTCGAGGACTTCGTCGAGGACTTCGTCGAGGACTTCGTCGAGGACTTCGTCGAGGGCGGGCGCACTGGTGCAGCGCGACCCGGCAGAAGTGATCCGGCGTGGGATCGATATCTCGTAGGAAGGTCGATGATCAGCACACGTGTGCTTATTTTCGAGCGAGGAAAAATGTAGAGCCTAAGGAAGAGATCGGGGGATGGAGCCGAGCTGAATTCCGACCTATCGAATCGCCGTGTATCGACGATTAGTGTATCGCAGTCGTGTACAGCGGCGAGGTATTGGCAATTGGCCGGCCGTGACGTCCTCTGATGACCTCCGGGTGACGTCGGTGGTGACTTCCACGTGGTGACCGTCCCGCACCCCTTTAGGAGGAGTAGGTGGCGGCCATGAGCACGGTGCGCTCCCGCAATGTGGCGGGCAGGAGCTGCAGCAGGTAGGGGCTGGCCATCTGGAGCGCCGCGTATACCAGGCCCATGTAGAACAGGGCCACGCACAAGTTGTGCACCACTTGCTGCCTGCAAAAGCATTTCAAAAATAGGGTAGAAATTGTCCTATTGCAAAGCTCTTTTGAGTGGTTTCCAGCCGCGTGTACTGCAGTGCGCATGATGTACTTACACTCTGAGCCTTCTGCGGCAGTACTTGATGGTGCCGGGTGACTCCTTCAGGCAGTACGTCCTCGTCCCGAAGATGGCCCTCTCGAGGTACTTCTCCTTGTCCACGGGCAGCACGTTGTTCATGAAGAAAGTCTCGCGATCCTTTGCGTTGAGCGTGGGCCAGAGCGTGTCCCGGCCGTTGCGGTTGTTGAACTTCCACTGGCGCATCGTGAAGAACATGAGCAGGTCGTGGCCCGACTTGATCTTGGCCTGCACCCGGACCATGCTGTGCAACACAAAAAAAAGGGGAAAGGAGTTTGAAAGTCAGCGATGATTTTCAGAAAAATATTCAAACTCTTCCGGAAAAATCGGAAAAATATGAAAAATGAATTATATTCATAAACGAAAGAAATAAACCATTTCTAGAAAAACGTTGACATTGACTTTTTGAAAAAAATTGTTGGAAGTGTGATAATCAAAGATGAAAACCTATACGAATGCTTTGCGGCAGAGAACAGGGTTATACCTAAACCCGAGTAGATCTTCATTGTTTTATATTTCTACTCGTTCTTTAGTTTCACATTTTTTTAGGGGAGACGAAACAACTCACAAGCGTTCCTGGCCGATGAGCATGAGGAGGAAGTCGATGACGTAGGCCGGGATGGTCTGGAAGAGGAAGACGATGAGCATGTGCTCCCAGTAGTTGGTGCGGATCGAGCCGTCCGGGAACCAGACGGTCCACTCGAGCGGGTACACGCCGACCATCTTGCGGCCCAGCGCCAGCACCTCGCCCCACGTCGTCTCCTCCAGGTCGCCGGCGCACGCGTTGTACACGATCACCTCCCTCTGGTCGCGGGGCCTGCGGTAGGGGACAGGTCGCATAACATCGGGAAAAGTCGGAAAAGTTGGAGAAAAACGCGTGTAAAAACAGAGAAAAAAGTAAAGAAAAACAGGAATTTCGGCGTACGATTGCATTGGGTTATCCAGGTGTAGGGTTGAAAATTTCCAAAAATGTTCGGAAAATTTCTGAAAAATTCCCGAAAATTTCCAGGAAATCACGGAAAACTTCCAAATTCAGGGAAATTTCCAATTACCACGGAAATTTTCCGTGTTATCTGGAAATTTTCCTGAAATTTTCCGTAAACTTTCCAGGGCTTCCAACCCTGTGTCGCACTCACTGCAGGGCCCGCTTGTAGGTGGCGGCGATGATGGCGTTGATGCAGATGTCGGCCGGGAACACCTCGGCGAGGTTCTCCGCCCGACACATCATGGAGCGCAGCACGCCCTTGCCCGCCGCCGCCATCACGCCCATGGGCCCGTTGAGCGTGTCCACCCAGCCGGGGATGGGGTCGCGGAGCGTCGGCACGACTGCAGGGTCAGAGAGAGGAGGGTTTTAATTTTCCAAACAAGTATTTCTTTGAACAAAATTCAAGATATATTTTTTGTTGTTGAAATTGTTGATTTTTTTCTGAAAAGTTAAATTATTTAGGCGCACTCACCGATCGACGGTCGCACGATGAGCATGGGGATGTCATCGGCGTACTCGGCGGCCAGGGCCTCCGCCACGGCCTTGGTGTACGTGTAGCAGTTGGGGTGCTTGCCGTACATCCTGCGCGAGGACAAGGAGGGACTTTTAGGGGCCGTGCCCAAACCACGTGACGCATTTTTGGGGAGGGGGGGGGGGGGTTGGCCAATCGGTTGGCTGTAATAAGCATATTTTTGAGAATATAAACAGTGATCCGTTTTTAGCGTGATAAAACACTGTAATCTGCCGGTGCTCAATCACAAAGTCACCACCAAATTAAGTTTTAAACATGAGCAAACATGCCTCTTTTGTTAAAATATGCTATGAAGTCGTAAATTGTGAAATAACACACAAGCTAAAACCCACGTGAAAAGGGGTGGGGGCTGGGGGGGTGCGAAAACACCACGGAGCGCCATATGAAGGAAGGGGGGGGGGTGGTTAAAAAGCGGGCAAAATGCTTCACGTGGCTCGAGTACGGCCCCTTAGCTCTCTCTCTCTCTCTCTCAGCCCGAGCGAGCGGCACGTCTTCGGGTGTGTGGTCGTCGTCGGGCACCTACATGGGCGCGATGGACTCCATGGTGCGCTCGTCGAACATGTCGCAGAGCGCCATGAGGCGGTGCGGGTCGAAGGGCGGCTCGTAGACGCGCTCCTCCACCACCTCCTCGCCGCACTGGCAGAATGCGGTGGACGTGTACTCGAGCACCTGCAGACAAAAAAAATCCTTCAAGTCCACATTTTCAACGTGGCTTAAAAGGCTTCGCGTGCTTGGTGTGGGCTATGGACCGACGAACGCAGAAGAAAGGACCGTTATCTAGGTAGATGTTCAAATTATGCATCGAAAAAGTCTGCAGTCGTAAATTGGATGTATGCAAAGGGCTTTTGAGTCACGAAATTGCGTAAAATTGACAGAACCTTGTTTCCTGCTTTAAAAGAAACGCCGGTGAAAAGGGCTCGATTGACTTAAATATACAGGGTGGTCCACAGACCCCTTCCTTTATTTTGCCTATACTGTACCGGATGCAGGCGTGCGACCGGGTTGCATACTCGCACGGGGCCATAAGGTGCCGTAGTGAGCGACGATAGGCAAGCCCGCCCGCACGCCTGCATGCGGTACAGTATAAGCAAAATAAAGGAAGGGGTCTATGGACCACCCTGTATAATTAAGTACACTTGTTTTCGAACTTCAACAAACATCTTTTAGAAGCCATTACCCCCCCCCCCCCCCTCAAAAAATACAGCAAAATACACCACATTCTGATGGCACGCTGTCCCTCAGACCTCAAACCACATCGACTTTCTTGACACTAAAAATTGTCATATAAACTTCTGACTTTTTTTAAAGAGGGGTAAAAAGGTTGACGATAAGTCCAAAAATCTTCGTAGTTTGTTGCTAGGTTCAAAATTTGAGAAACATTGTACGGCTAGACTATTCAATTCGTTCCGCCTTTGTCCCCGCTCCGCCAACACCACGTCCACCCCGATTGGCGGTGGTCCCCTGCCCCGCCCCCGACCCGAACCATTTCTTTGGTGCGGAAGGGTCTCCTGGATGCTGGGGAGCAGGTAGTGCACACGAAATTCTTGTCGAGTAACAGCGGACCGGGCGCTAGAGGCTTTCGCGTTTTGCGCTTTAGCGCACGCGAAGCCTAACAACAACAACGGCACACCCGTTATTACCAATCGTTTGCGTCTGTTACACACTATCTATTCCCAGAGGCCAATGATTAATCTCGCTTTTCTTTTGGTCGGCCGGTCACGCGTTATCCCGACGCGCAGCTCGGAAGCGATGCGGTGTCTCGTTGCCGCCAGGTTTACAGGTGATACAGGCACCCCGCAGAGCGCTGGGAAGGGGCGGGGCCGCCGTATGTCGAAAGACGCATCGAGCAGTCGATTTTCGAGTTTTGTCTTTTTTTTTCTTTATTATTATGATTCCTTAAGAGCCGCGCTCCGATCGCGCGGGATACCCTGCTGTCCAGCGGCGGCACGTGGCCCGGGCCGGATCGTGTCAGTGGGAGGTGAGGGAGAGGGGGGGGGGGGGTAAATGAGTCCCCCCTTCCGCGGGGAGTTTCGGATCACACAGAAATAAGGCGAAATCCAACAAAATCCAGTTCAGCAGCTTGTCTAGCCACATATTACAAGAACGGCTCACCCCGCCCCGCTCCGCATCAGAACGCTCCGCCCCGCCCCACCCCGCCCCGCTGGGCCCGGTGGACAGCCCCGCGCGCTAGCAGCTTCAGTCCGCTGATTCATGAGACCCGGAATGGTGGGTTCCCACACACGTGTGGACCCGAAGGTGTGATATTGACTGACCCAGATCGACACTGGCAAAAAAAAGGGGAGAGAGAGAGGGGGGGGAGGAAGAGAGGGAGAGAGAACACACACGTGTATAATGAAATGGGGGGGCTGAAGTTAGGTATAGTGATTACCGCCATCAGTCACAGTGCACGTCTACGGGTTAAGTAGCCTGTCATTATAGCGAGTTGGTGAAGTGCGCTGCTGCCGTGCGTCCGCCCGCCCGCCTGACCGACCATAGCACTCGGCGGACGACGACTGCGTGCGTAGAGGAGGTTTCATGTTTCTTTTTGCCTTTTTGCCTTTCTCCATATGCTCTTCAGCATGCCGCCGCAGCCGCTGCTGCTAGCTGCTGCTGCTGCTGCTGCTGCTGCTGCTGCTGCTGCTGCTGTTGCTGCTGCTGCTGCTGCTGCTGCTGCTGCTGCTGCTGCTGCTGCTGCTACTGCTAGCTGCCCGTTTTTGCGACACACCACACATCAATTAACCATACTCGATGGTGTTGAGGTCCGTTCATAGATCACCACCGGCGATTTGCATTTAGCACGCGAACAGTTTGAAAAAGAAAGATTTATCGGCGTGTCTCGTCTTACAGAACGGCGGAATGGTACGCTCGGTAAGGCAGTGCGTCGCATAAGCGACACAGTATCTTCAAAAAGGGCCCGCTCTGTGCTATATAGAGAGTGAGGAGAGGACGGGGGACTTTGCCTTCTGGTAGAGACAGTCTTGAGGACTGTCTAAAAAAATAACACTTTCCCACGACCCACCCACTTTGCTGGGAAGGCATTTTCAAACACGATGCTAGTCGAGGATCGCGGCCGCAAGGTGACTGGCCCCCGGACCCCCTAGGCAGATGCAGCCCACTTCACTCGGGCAGCCCAAAGGACGCCTTGCAGTTAGGCAACTGCGGTCGGGTCGTGCGCTCCTCCGGAGCGGGTGGCCTATCCTGGAGTCGGCAGGCGCTCGGCTGGAGAGAGTGGAGTGAGTGAGTGTGTAGAGTGAGTGAGTAGGGTAAGTGAGTGAGTAGAGTGAGTGAGTGAGTGAGTGAGTGAGTGAGTGAGTGAGTGAGTGAGTGAAGAGCAAGAGAGGGGGAGAGAGAGAGGGGGGGAGAGAGAGAGAAAGAGAGAGAGAGAGAGAGAGAGAGGCCAAAGCGTGGGGCAGGCGAACGTTTGACGAGCTGCCAGGTCGAGCGCTGAGGCTGAGCGATCAGCGGTCCGCTCAGGAGGCCACCACCGCCGCCGTCCGGCACGATACTCGCCTGTTTCACTTATTTGCCGCCCACTGCGCCCGCCCGCTGTTGCCGCTGCCCTACTCCCATGGGAGGGTGCGCTCGGGCGCGCTCAGCTCTGCTCCGCTCCGCCGCGGGACACTTTTCCGTCATCGCTTCGCAGACCGCAATCGGCCGCCACGCTGCCACATGCAACCCAATTCACCTCGCACATGGCGCGCCTTGTGGTTCTTCATTAACCCACGGGTGGGTACGGCCCGCGCGCTTCCTGTTCCCTGCTCCATAGACCGATTACTGCGAGCCTTGGGCGGGGAGGGGGGAAAGCAGAGAGAGAGAGAGAGAGAGAGAGAGGGGGGGGGGGGGGGGGGGGGGTACAAAGATTATGGGATCCAAATATGATCAGGAACATCATTGGAGTCCATAAAGACCCCGTGAAATTTGTACCTGGGGGTACTATTATTATGGTGTCCCAAACTGATCAGGAACATCCGAGGGAACATCAATGGAGTCCATACAGACCCCATGATATTTGTGCTCCGGGGTACAAATATTATGGGGTCTCTATTGACTCCAATGATGTTCCGGATCATTTTGGAAGCCTATAATATTTTTAGCTCCCCCTACCCTTTAAAAGTCCTACAGTATTTGACCCCAGGACCCCCCCCCTAGCTTCTTCATGCCCTTGCAGAAGTCGAGCACGTTCTTGGTGCCGACGACGTTCTCGGTCGTGGCCCTGTGCAGCGAGGCGCGCCAGTCGAGCCCGGCGGCCAGGTGGAAGACGACGGACACGTTCTCCTGCACGAGGCGCTGGTCCTCCTCTCTCAGCCCCATGGCCACCTGCGTCGTGTCACCTTCCAGCGCGTGCAGCTTCTCCAGGGCCTTCGGGTTCCTCTTGAGGAGCGGCTCAAACAGCTGGAAGAGAAGGAATTAGGGACTGTAACAGCTGAAAATTTTCCAGCAAATTTGAAAACAAAATGAAAAACAATGGGGAGAAAAATTAGGCACGTGCCAAAAAAAATCTTGAAAAATTTCGCGGATATGCTATTCTGGCCAATTAAAACTTTTAGAAAGAATGGATAACTTTCACAATTTGTTTTCTTGGCGAATTTTAGCCCGTGCGAATATTTGTTTACAGTGAGCAGTTGCAGGACGCGTCTTGCGTGCCTCCTTGAAAGGCCGCTTGCTTGTTGAGGAGAGAGCAAAAAAAAAAGAAGAAAAAAAGGGGGCAAATGATAATATTGTTCCGCGGGTTCTTCTTCCAACTTTTTATACCCGGAACGAAAAACATCCTCGCGTGTGAAACTTATCGGCCAAATGAACGATTAAAACAAAATCGTGGAATGTAGCTGCGGGACACCGCGCGAGCGTTATTCGTGGGTATCGCATCGCCAAGCACCGCGCGGGCTCGCATGGTTGACGTCAGGGAAATATTTAGTGTGGCGCCAGCACAAGGAGCTACGCGGGCTGGAAGAACCCATTCTGAAAACTGGTTGATCATTTTCCAAACGTCAGATTGATAACGCCAAAGATCCGAACGTGATCGTTTCCATACCAAAACACCAACACCGACGCTTTAACTTTTTTGTTCGCGGCGGGTTCAGCTCTTTACAATGATAAAAAATGAGTCACGGCGAAATAAATAAAAATTACTTTTTTTTTACCGAGAGAATTTTGACAACATGTGAAGAAAGTGTACCTCTGGCCTTAATTTTTTTTACAAGTAGAGGTTTCATAAATTACAAGTAAACAAGTGAAGCTACACGATCGAGCGGCGGTGTCGTTGTCGGCCCGCCGCTACTACTGACCGGGAGCTTGCGCATGTCGTCGACGCGCTCCTGGACGGCCCGTCCCTTCTTCTGGCGCACCACGATGTAGAGGCGCTCCAGGTCGCCGCAGCTCCGCAGCAGCTTCTCGACGAGCACCTTGCCCATGAAGCCGGTCGCCCCGGTGACGAGCACGTGCCTGCCGGCGAACCAGGCGGGGATGCCCGGCCCCCCCGCGCCGCTGAAACAGAAACGGGGGGGAAATGAATAAAACCATCTCGGGCCTCGAGAAATAGAAAGGGAATTGGAAGAGTTGTGGCGCCCAGTTCTGCCGCGCTCTTATGCAAGCCGGGCGGACAGGAACCCGGTAGGCTGCTGCAGCAACGACATTAGGGGCCGATTAGTGACGGGACCAGATCTGGTCAGGACGGACCAATCAGCTCCCGGGGGAGGGGATCCGGTGGGGGTGGGGGGCGGGGCCGTGTGCCACCTCAATCTGCTGACCGCGCTCTGGCTGTGTGGGAACGACGGCTCTTCTAGCGCCATCCTCACTCACTCACTCACTCCGCTCTGGCTGTGTGGGAACGACGGCTCTTCTAGCGCCATCGCTATGCAGAGCTCTGCCGCGGATTACAGACACTGGTAAAACAATGCTTGCCGCTACACTGTAAATCCGGGGTGTCCAGCAACTGTGCGACTTAAGGTGCCCGACCCTAAAACCTGTTCGACTTGAGTCGCACAGCTGCTAGACATCCTTTGGGTTTGGCACCCTTTTCCCTGAACAAGGGTCCAGGCCAAGCCTAGGTAGGGTGTCCTGTTGTTGGACACCCCCTGCTGGGGCCCCTCTGCAGGGAAAGGGCGTAAAACTACAAGGTGTCCAGCAGCAGTGCGACTTAAGTCGCACAGGTTTTAGGGTCGGGCACCTTAAGTCACACAGTTGCTGCTGGACATCCCGGATTTACAGTGTACCGACATTTTTGTGGTCACTTGTCATTTGTTTTCCCATGTGTTCAAATGTGACGGATTAATCAATCTGTAGACACTCCTCGTTGTTGTGTTGAGCAAGGTGGTTTGTTTTTAAAACGAACTTCGTAAATGTTGTGGCCGGTTGCGCGGTTGATGGTCACATTATACAAATGACCACGACCGTGAAATTCAGCAGACGACTGGCTGATTTTAAAAAATAAAATCGTATGAAAATGTAACGATTTTAAAATTTTTATTGTTTCCTCCAAAAAAATGCGGGGGGGAATGGTAATTTATCGAGTATTTACATATCGCGGTTAGCAGCCCCACCTGCCCGCGGAGGCGACCTTGAACTTCGCTGGCACGCTCCCTACCCGGCACAACGCCTTCGTCTGAAGCGTAGCAAGGCAGGGCCCGGAACCTGACAGGGCGTGGCGGGGCAAGCGGGGCGTGGTAGGGCGGGGCGAGGTGCGGGCAGTGTGTCCAGCAGCTCCCCCCCCCCCCCCACAATACCTCCTCGCTCCTTTGGCTGTCGGCGCGTGGCTTTGATCGCTTTTGCTTCTCTGCAACATTGATTCTCTCCCTCGCTCTATCTCTGTTGCTGTTGTTGCAATTACGTAAATATGTGTGAGAAACTGAGACTTGTATGCAAAACGCGTCGCAAGTGGCGGTGTAGACAATTACATCAAATTTTCCTCCACTCAATGTGTTGAAAATATACGAATCAAAATGTAGTTTGGAGAACGGGAGAATCTTAGCCACCTAAGCTTTTTGGCCCCACCTAAGTAATAAAAAAAATATTTAGTAAATCAGTCTCTATTCTGTCTATGTGTTTCTCTCCCCCCCCCCCTCTCTCTCCACTTCCCCCCCTCTCCAGCTGCATCCACGCCTCGTCTCCCCTTCCTCCCTCTTCATCAGTGCGATCGTTTTTATGGTGCAGAGATGTGAAAGGCGCGGTCGGTTTTTGTTTTGGCCTATTTGGCCGAAAGCCATGCTACATACGTGCAAATACACATGCACACGCTCACACACACGCCCTCCCCCCCCCCAATTCCCCTCTCTCTCTCTCTCTCTCTCTCTCTCTCACACACACACACACACACACACACACTATCGCGCCCATCGAGCAGAGCGAGAGCAGTAGGGTTACAAAAATAGGGCATAAATCTTAAAATGCCAGTTATTATGATAAAACCGCGCGCGGTTGGCGGCAGGAGCCTGGAGTCGCCTGCAGGTGAGTCTACAGGACCTGCAGGCTGCCTAGAGCGCCCCTCCCCCTTGCCATTTCATACTGTATGATGGCCGCACGCCGCTTTGCAGATTTGCAGTTTTATAATGTTGTGCTTGGCGCGCTTCGAGTTGCACAAGGAGCCGCCCTCGGGGGCATCCTGCAGCTCCGTGTGCGAATCTGAATACGTCACATCCCGGGGAAAGTACGGCAAATAGTTCGCGGTCTTTGAGCTTTGGCGGGCCATCTCTGCACCGCCGAGACCACGCGGACAATTGGGGGGAGGGGAATCCATATATTATAGGGTCTCAAAAGGGTCAGGACCATAATTGCAAGCCATGGAGACCCCATGGTATTTGTACCCCCGGGGTAAAAATATCATGTGGTATCCTTGGACTCCAATGACCGTCCTGGTCCTTTCGGGACCCCATAATATTTTGGACCCCCCCCCCCCTCCCGTTGGGTTTCTGAAGCTGGTGCCGGTGCATGTGAGATGTGTACTTCTCCAGCACCTGGTGGTATCGGTCCCGCCAAGCCGGGGCACCTCGCGCCTCGCGCCTCGCTGCCGCCGTCGCGCTAGGGCCGCTGCGGCCGCGGGGGGATCGGGTTCAGATCTGGGCGAGATAGGTATCGGATTGAGTCAGGATCACGTCGACGTGACGGGGAGACGGGGACAGGTCCGGCCATCGGGGCGGGGTTGGGGAGGGGACACACCTTCGGGCTCAAAACCGCGCCTGGACGGGAACTTGGTAATTTTAGGCCCACTCTGTCACACCGGCGGTCTCGCAAAGAATCATTCAAACGACATTCCGATGACGAGATTCCTTTTATGACAAGCACTAAGTGCAGGAGGCCGAGGGATATTCACCTCTTTTTCGGCATCATAATGACAAATCACCCTGCATTCTAGGGCTAAATTGACCTAGTTTGGCCACCTCTACGAGTTCCATGGACCACAGCTGGCTCAGTAGTAAAAGAAGGCAATCCCTCGGGACAGATGGGACAAATGTAGACGAGTAGGCAGGCGTGTATGTGATCCATTACGGACGCCACAGACGCACAGGTAAATTCGTTGAACTTTTTTCCTATTTCATCGGGCAACACTCATGCTTGTTTGATTCGAAGGACGTCTTGTTCGTCACAAGTGAAACATTTCAGATCACCATTACAACAATAACAAGTTTCCCGTTTCCTGGATGAACTCACTGTATCTCACTGTAACTCACTCACTCACTCACTCACTCACTCACTCACTCACTCACTCACTCACTCACTCACCCACTCACTCACTCACTCACTCACTCACTCACTCACTCACTCACTCACTCACTCACTCACTCACTCACTCTTATGCGCACTCGCGCTGCTTGTAGTACACGCATTCCTATCGCAGCTATTCCGAAACAGATATCTTGTATAGGTTATCTATTGGAGCTGGTCCAAATTAAATCTACTCGCACAGCGTGTTTCCTCAGGAACGAAATTAAGAGGTCTCCGACCACTACCGCAAAACATGACAGTAAAATATTTTAACAAAAATATTTTCGATCACATTTTTGGACTTTGCGCCTCCTGGGCTTCAAAACCTCATGATGAAATTTTACGCATGGAGTAAAAATTATGAAACACATTTCCTACTTAAATTATTTCGTTCACAGATGTTTTCTCAAAATAAAATTATTTTTTGCAGTACAATTTTGTTTCTAGTAGGTAATAATCGATCACATTTTTCTGGAAATGTCTTGAAAAACTCCGATTTTCTTTCTTCTGGAAAAGTCACGGATTTTCCGGTTTTTGAATCCCTTCTATTGGTCCGCACGATGCCCGCGGCCGAGACCCACCTGTCCCTGTCCGACTCGATGTAGTAGTTGTTGTTGTTGGTCGACGCCATGGTCTTGGTGCGGGGAGGTCCGGGCGCGGGCGGTTCGCGACTGGCCAGGACGAGAGCTCCCCGATCACGCCCCCGGTCGTGTAACACGCGGGCTCGGCGCGGTGCCCGGGGAGTGAGAGAGGTAGAGACGGAGGCGGGGGGAGGGGAGGGGATTCGGCGTGCTTCGGCAGGCTCGGTGCGTTCACGACTAAAAATCAGAAAAGTGGCGTATGCTCAGGCAGACTAGTCAGAGCTGGGGCCGGGCCCGGGCGAGGCGAGGCGAGGCGGGGCGGGGCGGGGCGAGGGTGAGGGCGAGTTGGGACGGGGCGAGGTGGGGCGGGCTAGGCGCGCTTGGAGTCTACCCTGCGCGCGCGGTCTCAGCCAAAGACCTCCCCTCCTCCGCCGAAACGCTACCGGATGAGACGACTATGGAGGGGGTTGGGAGGGGACAGACAGACAGACTTACAGACAGACAAACAGACAGACAGACAGACAGACAGACAGACAGACAGACAGACAGACAGACAGACAGGTTTATTTTTTCGAGCTCAAAGAAGCGCCGGGTAGTTAGGCAATGCTACGCAGGCGTGCTCTGCGGGCGGCCTACTCCGAGACCCGCAGGGGTCCAGAGGGGGGAGGGACGAGCACGAGGAGGGGCGGGAGAAGGGCGCGATACAGAGAGAGGCCAGAAGTCTGTCGCCTTCCGGTCACCATAGGTCCCCAGCCACAGGGGCTGGCCCGGGCCCGGGCCCGGCCGGGTCGGGTAGGCTCACTTGCGCAGTTGTTGTTGAAATGCCATTTGAAGCACACTCCTCCTCACTCCGAAGCCAATCAGCAGTAAAGCTGTGGCTGTGACCCTCCACACAAGCTGTCACCGTGTCGGCGCGCGCGGCTGGCAGGCGTGGTGGCCGGGCGCACACCCAGCGCCCTTTCACGACGTGATACGTCTCCGACTAAAAAAAAAGTGACGCTACTCGGACCAGCCTAAAAGCGAACTGGATGGTATGCTATAATAACGTTAGGAGCAACCGAGATCTACAGAGGGAGCAGAGGGTTCATTGGTGACGGAGAGGACGGCGCTCATCATGGTTACCGGCGTGAAAAGACGACGACAACAACCTGCGTCTTAAAATAAAGAGGAATTGTATACAAATCAGCCGGCAAATGCCGCGCCGCCTGGTCGGCCGTGGCGCCGGTGGCGGCGGCGCGAGGCGTCCCGAGGCGAAGGTGGGTGCCCAAGGGACCATGCGGAAAGTACGTGTCCGTCATTCGCCTTTGGCACAAACCTCCACCAAGTTCCGGCTCTGCAAGCTCTCAGAGCGCCTGATGGGTAGGCAACATCTCGCCTGTCGTGCTCGCATGCAGTGCGGGGTGGCCTACCCGGCGTGTCGCAGGCGCCCACACGCTAAAAGTGACTTTTTGGTTTTCAAGCAAAAGTGGTTATTTCCAAGCACTTTTCCCTCGGAAATTACTACTTTTGCTTGAAATCCAAGCAGTCACTTGTAGCGTGCAGCTTCTCCAAATGAATTTGAGGGGTTGGGGGTGGGGATGACGCACTTACTCGACGATCCCTAAGGTGATTTCTGATGATCACCCGCCCCTATATGCCGACGACTCTGTGTGTCTCAAAGACACTCGATTTCATGACGACCAGTTCATAAATAATTTCCTCGTTAGTCAATCGCGAAAATAAAGCTTTTGTTCGAAAAGGACAGCCGTCTTCCCCGCCTTGTGCTGCTGCTGCTGCTCGTGCTGGTGAACCGGTCCACGCGCCGTTCACACCCGTCACACTCTTATAGTTGAACCGACTCGCGTCGTGTGACGTCTGAGCCCGTCACACCGGACCAGTCACAGAGGATGATGGGTGTCGGCGTCACACCTATGGCGCGGACGAACCCGCGCCTCTCTGGGATGCAGCTTAATAGCGGCTTATCAGACTTTACCTACTTTCCACCTCGACTAGTCATTCGTCGCCTTCACCCTCACTCGCAGGGAAAAATATTGAAAAATACAGCAAGTCCCCCTACTTTCAAAAAAATATGTACAGAAAATAAAATCAAAAGATGCTTTTCAATACAGAGAAATACACAGAAATACATCAAAATACACGTCAAAAATACAAGTAATACACGCGAAGCGTACACAGATAAACACGAATGCCTCCCCCCCCCTCTTGTTCTCTCTCTCTCTCTTTGAGGTGCATTCCATGTCATGCAAATTCTGCGTATAATTCCATTTTACGCGGACCCTTTGGGACCTTGGAGGAGCGCAAAGGCCATGCCTCCGGTGGTGCTGGGGGAGGGGGCTAACCCGGGCCGTTAGAGAGACGCTCGCTTCCTGAAACCAAATATACTTCCATGATTTTTTCTTTGTGAGTAATATGAAGTAGTGGGCGAGAGCGCGAGTTGTTTGTCATGAGGCATGAAGAAGGCTCTATGATGCAGTGCGTGCTTTCTCCGAGCCGATCGCGTTTCTTCCCTCACCTGTTGCGCTGGCTGAAAGCCGACCCTTTTCCTCTTCACGGTTTGTCATGTGCTCAAGTCTCCCAAGTGTTTTTTGTTGTTGTTGTTTTCCTCCCGGGTATCTCTCCCTTCTGTTCGGCAAACTGTGCGCCTCTTCCAACTTGAGGCCGATGGCTTATTGGAGAGTTTCGAGAGTATTCCGATCGGCGTCATATCGGCCCATCCGAAATACAAAGCTGTGGCGCACGACGACGGTGGCTCGCGGGCGGGGAGGGGCTCGACGTATCGACACATTGTCTCTTTGTGGCTGTCATTGTGTGATCAGTGATCAGAAGCCAGGCGGGACAGGTACTACTAGATCCTTCTCCGATCAGGTTCTTCAGCTCTTCTGCCTTAACGCATCGCCACGTCCCGTCCCGCCCCATCCCGCCCCATTCCGAACGAGTCCTCCAAACCATCCAAACCTTTCGAAAAGGGCGACGGACGATAAGAACACTGGTAAAACAAGTGTGCAATATTTGCACACCAACGTGTGCAAGTTGTGATTTTGCACATTACATGGTGTTTAACTCAAGTTGCACACTTGCGTGGTGTGCAAATTTTAGACGTTTTGTAAACGTTTAAATTCTGCACACTTGGACACACACAGTTCTATGCTGTCAATAGCGAACCATACGGTGTGCAGCTGCTATACGTTTCGGAAGTGTCGAAAGTTTAAACACCAATTGACGTATAACATAGTTAGACACCACAAAGTGTCTAGAAAATGCACACTTGAACTTAAACGTCAATTGACGTGCAAAATTAAACACTTGTTTTACCAGTGAACAACTCCAAAGCACCCCTCCCCCCTTTTCCCTCATCCCCTCCTCGCACAAAGGGCCAACCTTAACAAAGTTTACAGTAGTTAGTGTTTGACGAAAAAAAAAATCTTCGCACAAGATCCTCAATTTGAAGAAACTTGTTGATAGAGACGAGAAAAAAAATGTGCACAATGTCATTTGATTTTTTTTTTAAGTTCAAAAAATAGTTACGACTCGTTAACGGCGATAAAGCTGATTTCCTGTCGACTTGCGTGGGATAGTCAGTCACTGGCGCACGACTCGCTCGCACACAAATCTAACGTGTGCGCCTTTTATTCGTTGTCGGCGCCACAAACTACTTCCAGAGAGGAGTGCATGTAATATACCGCGTCAAGTCCAAAGACCTCCCCCCGCGCTGCGGCTGCTGCTGCTGCTGCTGCAGTGCAGCGCTGGGTGCACAGCGTGCCCTCGGCGATGTCTGTCCAATCGGCGGGCTCTGATCTAGGCGCGCGCTTTCCAGCAATTATGTACACCCCGCACCTCATAGCCTCCCACGGCGGGGCGGGGCGGGGCGGGGCGACTCTCGATCTGAGAGAGCCAGTCCCAAGTGTTACTCGCGGCACCGATTTGCACACGTGGCGTGTATATGATGTCGCGAAATGCCGCTGCAGGGCGGGGCAGCGCCGTATGGCTTTTTGATCTCCAGGAAGGATTTAAAGTCGGGGTTGGTGCTGTAAGAGTAGCAGGCGGCTCGGATTGCCACCGTACAGACGGGGCGAGGCATGTGGGGTATATCCTGCCAACTCCAAAAGCGATCTTTTATCCATTCACTTTTCTTTCTTAATTTTTTTTCCTTGCAATTTTTTTTTGTAACCTTTTCTTGTAATTCTTTTGCATGTATTTGTTTCTTTTATTATTATTTTTATGTTTTTGACGTCAACAATAACGAAATGTGGGTCAAAAGTATGGCGACCATGCAAAAAAAAAAAAAAATTGAAGGTTCCACTGGGGTCACACGCAACCTGCGCGAGATCTTTTTCGTCACGGGTCAAACGCGGTGTCGGTGTCATGTCATTTCGCCAAAGTACTTGCATTCAATGCAGCCATGTAGAGCGGCCAGCGCACCCCGCTGCGGACGTACGGCTCGCTGCATAACAGGCGGCAACGCACGCGTCTGTCATATCGGGACGAGCAAGAAGAGAGAAGGGTCCATCAATAACGGGAGAGTGATGGAAAGAAGCGCGACCCCGGAGAGGCCTCGATCACGACCGCGTATGAAAGTAATGTGCCCTTGTTGAGGATGATGATTGTATGACCTCTCGTGCTGCTGGCAGAATTTTAGCAGGAGGCCAGGAGGCCTCCTCCAACAAACTGCTTGTCTGAATCCTTTCCTTTTTTTTCTGGGCCAATCTTAATATTTAGAGGCCATATACCCCCTTTATTACAAGCCCTTTATTTTCTTCTTCTTAATAAATGCAAGGTTTTCCGCTTTTCTTATCCACTTCCAGCGCAATCCGAAAGGTTAAGCACGAACCTAACATCTCTGAGCGTACATAACATCAGAGGGTATCCCAATCAGCAAAGTTGACTCCTTCACAGACGCGAAAAATCGATGCGGAGCCGTACAGCCGCAAGCAAGCATTGACGACTCAGACTCAGCTGCGGGAGGGTCCTGGTGGCCTCCTGGCAACAAACGATCAGAGTGGCATGTGATTTAGCGTACAAGTATGTAATTGTGTCGGTCGGGACAGGAGGCCTAGGGAAGGAGGAGGGGGAGGAGGTGAAGGAGACGAAAGCAGCAACGACGCCCTGCTGCACTTTGCAGCTGCAAAACTGCCCAGCGGCGGCGGCAAGCTCTGCTGATAAAATAAACGAGGTGTTCACGATCTGTCCGGGTGTGTGCGGGACGTACGGGGCGTGCACTTCAGCGCGCGTGCGTGCGTGCGTTCGTGTGTGAGTG